ATTAGTTTATAACAAGATATTTTATACCAGCTGGAGATGAAAGAAGTAAAAAGTGCAAAGCCTTCTACCATATTATTGTTGTTGTTGTTGTTGTTGTTGTTGTTGTTGTTGTTGTTGTTGTTGTTGTTGTTGTTGTTGTTGTTGTTGTTGTTGTTGTTGTTGTTATTATTATTATAGTGGCCTGGCTTACATGGAGGCATTGTTTTTTTTTTCAACTGAAGAAAGAATCTTTACAAGTACAATCACACTGAAAGAAATAGGAACAGAACACAAAATATGTAAGACCAAGGGGATAGGCTTCTCCTATAAATGTATTAAGTACAACAAACATTATGATAATTAAAAATAAGAATTGACCTACAGCATTCATGTGTGGTTAAAGCTTTTTTGTACAATAATGGCTAAATATACTTTGATTTCCTTAACCAAAACTGAACAATAAGGAGAAGCTAATGAAAATTTACATTTGTGAATATGAAATTTCCCAAATACTATAATTAGATTATTTCCAGTCTTCTGTTTATATTTAATATGTGTAAAAACTACCTGTGAAAATTACATGGAGCCACTGGCATGACAGAGCTGCTGTGATCTTCCCGGCCACAAGGGGGCGCTGTTGGAGAGGTCTCCGGTGCTACGTCATCACGTCTCTCCGCTTACGATGGAACAGCGTGTAAAAAACGTGAAGGTTGGCTCCTGAAAGCTGCTGGAGACATGTAAGTTGAATTAAAAGATTGTAAAAGTATATTTTTTTACAGTTGTATTTTTATTTAAGGTTGTGAAGCACGGGGTTGTTTTTGTATTTGTTGTTGTTAGTGGTGGCTGAGAGTTAAAGGACCGTTCACCTCCTGCATGTGTTGAATCAAACTGTGGTGTGAAATGTGTGCATTCAGAAGAAGCAGAATGAGGGACGCTGCTTTCCTCACGTCGTGTGTAGCTGTGGGTCTCCTCCTGAGCTTCAGCCTGGCTGCCAGACAAGGACAGGACATCAGATGTGGAGGTTTGTTGTCTCTGTCTTCTCTGAGAACTTCTCATGTTCATGTCTCATGTTTCTGTCCTCAGCCTGCAGGGCTCTGGTGGATGAGATGGACTGGGCCATCTCCCAGATAGACCCCAAGAAAATGATCCAGACAGGCTCCTTCAGGATCAATCCGGATGGGTCTCAGTCCATCAGAGAGGTGAGACACCAGCTGTACGTCCATCGCACTGCGTCTGGACAGAATGTCCTCTGGTGTTTGCTTTGATGGGTTTCAGTTTTCTTTTGACCCGTTCTGGCTTCAGGTTCCTCTGGCTCGCTCTGAGGGAAACCTCCTGGAGCTGATGGAGAGCGTGTGTGAGAGGATGCAGGACTACGGGGAGCGCACGGACCCTTCCACAAACAGGAAGTCCTACGTCAGGGTCAAGTCTCGGAGCGGCGAGACCATGGACCTGTCTGAGGCCACGCTGGACTCCAGAGTCACATCCAGTTTAAAGTTTGCAGTGAGTGCAGCTTTCTGTCTGAGACTATAAAAACAARCGTTTCAATTTTCTCTTTTTGAAGAGAGTTCATGATTCACTTCTCTAGTGTGAAACCATCGTTGAGCAGCATGAGGACGAAATTATCGAATTCTTCGCCCACGAAACAGAAAACGTCAAAGACAGGCTCTGCAGTAAGAGGACAGGTGGGTTTGTTTAACCAGATCTTTACATTTCTTTGCTCCTGTTAAGTTGTTCTGCAGCGGTGTTTTGTAATAATTTGTTTTGTGGGCTTTGCAGACCTCTGTGACCACGCTCTGACCATACCTCATGATGAACTTTGATGTTCTCTCAGCAGAAACCTTTGGTGCTGTATCTTTTTTTCCATTTTCACTCCAACTGTTGTGGTTCAGGATGTAGACAAGTGTTTACATGAGATCACAGAGAATTTAAGAGCACATTTAGCTTTTTTTGGTGGCATACCCCTTTGTTCTGTAAGTTTATTATGTTCACGTTTTCTTTTATGTGATGACTCTTTTCTTTTAAATGCTTCTCATTAAATGAAAACTGTGAATCTGCACAAAGTAGTTGGAATTACCTGTAGATTCAGGCTTACTAGTGTTCATCTATAATGAAAGAAACTCTTCAGGAATAAACTATCTGAATAGATGTTCCTACTTCCTGTTCAACAGTGAGTGTGTCATTTCATGACAAATTATGCTTTTAGAAAAAGAGTTTTTAATGTTTTTTTAATATTTTCTTTTGGTTTGTCAGAGAATGAGCTTATTCCAGTTTTGTTTTTCTTTGTTTGCATGTTTTATTAGGTCAAACTACAAAGCTACGTTTATTAAGTTGCATGAAAATAATTAAATATTGTGATCATTGTAGTTTCATTTGGGTTTAGTTTAGAGCCAAAACAGCAACGTGTCTTTATCAGCACACAAATAATTCTCAGGTATTTGAACTCCACTGCAAAAAGCTTTGCTTCAATAATCAGCAGCAAGTTTTTGTTGTTGTTGTTATTGTTGTTGTTGTTGTTATTGAGCACAATTCTTACTGTTTTTACTGGTTCATAGTTTTGAAGGCAATCTTCATTCACACCACACTGATACTGATTACTGCACCTCCTTTGCTCAGGTTTTACCTACAGGTTTGATCAAATTCAACATGGTTGCTGTATAAACCTGATGACTTATGACAAGGCAACTTATCAAATGATTTTTTYAGTCCAAATTACTAATAAGTGACATATTTGATCCGTTTGTTAGCATTACAGTATGTACACGCCTGAATAAGGCTTTTTTAAATTTCTGTCTTCAACATAGATGTCTTTAAAAATTTCATAGGTTGGCATAAGTTGTCTAAAACATTATAGTGTGAAGGGCCTTTATGAAAAAAGATACATTTTTGTAAGAACTTGTTGCTTTTTCATCAGAGAAATTTGAAAATGAAAAATTGGAAATAAAAAGATATGAAGAAAAACAATATAAACCTAAAACACAGATCTACTCTTTTTAAAACTGTGGACCCTGTCTGTCTATTATTATTTTTTTCAAGACTTACTAAATCTTGGGKTTTTTTTGCATCTTATAAAAAAGTAGTTGTTTATTCCTACATGTAATTTAAATAATTTGCTTCATTATTATTTATCGCCATGATGCGTTTACTGTATGAATCTGCTTTAATGGTAGGAAGCTGTTCACTTGATGGGTTTTTATAAATCTTGTGCTCCAAAAAGTCCTTAAAGTCTTTAAGTGATTTAGTTTTAACAAACAGAAATGAATAAGAAGAGCTAAACTACATAATTTATTAGTAACTTATGATCGTATTCGTCATCATTGCTTTTTAACTAAACACAACAAGAACCAACTGTTTGTCTCTTTGTGTTGTCATATTTATCACCCTTATTTAAATATGAGCATTAAGATATAAAGTTTTTTGTATCAGGATCAAACTCCAACAGACAATATCTGCTGCAGCTTGTTTGTTCTGTCATTTATATGAAAACATAGACCAAAGTTGTATTGCTATTGAAATTTCCTGTTTTGGGTCGATTTTTGTACATTTTAGAAGCTGTTTTGTCTTCAAATATATTTCTATAACATAAACCTGATTTCTCCTTGTCTTTTCTAAACTGAGCCCCTCACAGCTTCAGATACAAACCGTTTAAATCCTGACGTCTCTAAAACGTCTCACACCAACACGTTCCCAGAATTTAACCTCAAATCTGCTGTAAAACAAAGGGATGTAAAAACAAAAAGTTTGAGCTCTTAAAGGGTGGAGGGAAAAAGCAAAAGCAGTGATTTAAAAGAAAGTTAACTTTCAGTGTCTTAATGCACTTCAGGTTTTATTCACACACACATCGCAAACTACTAGTTTTATTTTAAATATCACCACACTACAACTTCAACAAACACTCCTGTGTTATCTCACAGCTTAATAGAGCTGCTCGACATGCAGCACATTTATTATGTGTCTGATAAATTTTTGCTAAACCAAAGAAACAGCAAAAAGAAATACCTTTTGTGGCATGAAAAGTAGTTCTGCAAGTGATTTATTTGTTATAAATACCACAGATATAATGTTACAGATTTTAAACCTTTAACATTAGATACAAATCATGGTCAGAAGGAATCTGTCTATATCACCTCCACTGGACACTCTTCACTTCGATCAGATTTATTTGTCTCTGCTGCCTCTTCCTTGTCCTCAGATGTGGTTTCGTTGTCACTAGAGCAGCTTATCTCGCCTTCAGTTTTGTCAAACCCCTCGCTCTTCTCCTCCGTCTTGGTGGTGAGTCTTGTTTCCTCCTCAGCTACGACAACAGTGTCTTCAGAGACGAGGCTGCTGCTGCAGGACAGCGTCTCTTCATCGTCCTGCTTCACACGCCCAATCTCAATTTCCTCTAAAACCCCACGTTCCTCTGTTTCTTCCAAGAGAATGTCCTCAGACCCCACCTCCTCAGACTCTAGCTCCTCAGACTCGACCTCCTCAGACTCTAGCTCCTCCGCCACATCTGGACAGCTGAAGCTATCACCAACGCTCTCTGGGTCCCACGGCTCGTTCACCTCCTCCTCTTCGCTCTCAGAGTCGGGGGCCGTGTGCTTCCTGATGCGATTGACCACATCCCAAAGAGTCTGTGGGTATGGGGCTTCCTGTTTGTGAGGAGGAGATGGAGAAACGTGAGGAGGAGAATGGTCCTCAGGAGGAGGAGAGCTGAGAGGCAGAACAGGGGGTGAGGTAGAGAGAGATGAGAACTGGTTGGATTCTTCACAAGAGTCCAGACTAAAAGGAGGAAAATCAGCTTCCATTGCAGCAGCTGAGTCAAAATTTGCAGGTGAAGAACCAACTGAGTCCATTTCCAAAAAAGGAGCAAAGTCTGTGTCTGTGYCAGGAGGAAGAGGAGAGTCTGAGGTCAACAAACAAGAGGAGTCAAAGGATTCGTGTTGGGAAATGTCTGTATTTATCTGAGTGTCTGTAGCGCTCTGTTGCCTCAGACCTGCAGTAAGACCTGGACTTGTTTGGAACTCCTGTTGAGCCTCACTGGTGTCCTTTCTGCAGAAATCAGTTTTCTCTTGAAAAGGATCAAACTGTTGGAATAAGTTGACATCTATCAGATCATTGCTTGTATATTCTTGACTTTCTTCAACCGTTTCGGGTGTTTGCACTTCAGCATCATCAGGACCCTTGTTGGTTTCTTGAAGAAACTGCTGCTTGATCCAGTTAGTCTCCTTCACACGACCAGCACCTTCAGTTTGGGAACGTTCAAGCTGTTGGAGGTCATTAGATTTGGATGCATGAACTGTTTCCCTCAAGCTGTTTTCTGGTTCTTTATCATTCTCTTCTGTTTGTTGCTCTTCAGAAGCAGCATCATGACATCTAGCTTGTTGCTGTGACTCCTCTTCTTTCACATCTGAGGCAGCGGACTCACCTTTAACCCGACTCTCTGGTAGATGAGGCGTTTCTTCCTCTTCCTCCTTGTGCTCGGCAACAGAAGCTTCATCCGCAGTTAGAACTATTTCTTCAAGAGGAGGAGGGATTGGGAGATGGTCTTCACAGGGAGGGGAATTCGAGGAAGAGTCTGGAAATTCAGGAAGAGGAGGAGGAGGAGATGACAGTTTAGGCCAAGATAAAGGCGATGTGTTGGAAAGAGAAGCTTCTTCTGATGTATTCCAAAACAATGAAGGTTCACAAGGAGAAGTGGAATTAATGAAGCCAGGAAGTTGTGTAGATTCATTGTTAACTTGATTTTGGTCCTCTTCACTTGTGGTGTCAGTTTCTGCTAAAGTATGGTCTGGATTGTTGTTTTTGAACAAATCTGCAAATTCCTCCTGAGATTCTGTAAAACCTTCACTAGCTTCATTTTCTGCTTGATTTCTGTCTTCACTGTCTTTGAAATACTCTGGTCCCTGGTCTTGGACAACCTCTCCCTCCTCTACGGTGTCCTCTGGAGTTAGTTCAGAAGGAGACGGTTCAGTCTCCTCGTTCTGCTCTTTAACATGCGACTCAAAGACCGAACCTTCATCGGCTCGCTCTTCGATGACGCTGTCCTGTATCGGGATCCCGAGGATTCTTTTTGCACGCTTCCCCAAATCTTCTGGCTGCACTCTGGAGAAAGAAGCATCTGTTTCATGACTTGTGTTTTCCTGTGAATGGGTTACATCTTTATTTTGATCTTCTGGTGTATTTTGATCTAAGTGTTCATTTAATTGACGGGGAACAAATGTTGGTTCGTTGGTTTCGGTGTCCGTGGAGGTGAATGAATACTGAACGCGCTCTTTCCTGGGCGATGGAATCATTTCCACTTTGACGACAAYGCAGCTTGTGTCTATGACCATCAGACCTTTTCTGTCCTCAGTGCCTGTTTTACTTGTTTCTTCGATCGTTGGATTATTACGTACATTACCAGCTCTGTGAAAGTTTAGAACGTTATCCGATTCTTCATCCAGATTCTTCTGAGGAGGTGAGGTTGTGAAACTAGGCTTCCTCCATAAAGGATATTTGACTGCAGGCTGCACCGACTGACTCTCTTGTCTATAAAACGTAGTGTCGTTATCTGCAGCAACACTTTCCAAGGAAACAACATTCGCCTCTGATTTGTTGGTTGGCTCATCTTCAAGCGACTTCTTTCCTGTTTGTGTGGCTGTAAGACATCTAACGTCAGGCCTCAGCTGTGCTGTGGATGTCGATGCATTGAAGTCTACTTCATCTGCAAGCTGGTTGAACTCACATCCGCTCTTTAGGTCGGTGGAAACCTCTTCCTGGTCTGTTCTCTGAATGTTGGTTTGGGAGGTGCAGACCGGTAAAGACGACATTTCAGAGGCGTTGGCTATTCGAGACACGAGGCAGAAAATGGTCATGCCGCCTGCCTTTTTGTTCAGCCTGAATTTCCTTCCTTCAATGACCTTTGAGTTTGAACTCTGAAATGATTGTTGATGATGTAGAGCCAGCGTGTCTTGGTTTTCTATGTATGATTTCTGTGTTTTTATGGGACTGGCTGCTTGTAAAGCATCTCCTTTCTGATTTGTGAGTTCTGGGCAGGCTTTACTTCCATCTGACTTTCTGAATTCCTCTTTCTCCGTTTGCTGATCATCCAGCTCTGCTGAGACATCCTGCTTTCTGGACCAGTAGGTTTGTTTCTTACCAAACTGCTCTGTGCTGGTGTTACAGAAAGATTTTACTGGTGAAGTTTGATGTGGGTTCTTATAGGAAGGAGGAGCAACATATCCAGGAGGTTGGCTAAAGGCTCTTCTTTGGTWGGTGGTGTTTTCCTTTGTGAAGCTTGTATTATAGGCTGGAGCTTGCAGTCTTGGTCCTCTGTCCCACAGTCCGGATATTCTATTTGGATTTATTTGAACATGTTGCGTTTGAGGGTCTACCAGCCCCTGAGAGCTTTCCTCTACCCGCCGCCTCCTTGGCAGGGAGTGACTGTACCGAGCTGCCCAGGCCTCCAGCTCTCGATAGTTGCTGACGTTWCTTCTGGCAGATGCATCTCGCTCGTAACTGAGAGGATTACTGGACTCCCATCTCCTCTGCTGCCACGCCTCCCTCAGAAACCCTCTCTCGTGGTCCCTCGCAGCTCTCTGAGACGTCATCCACTCCCTGTCGCTGGCTTCATGGTGCCGATATGCCCCTTGATCCTGGTGACGTCGAGTGTCCAGAATAACAGGGAAGTGATAGGAAGAAGTGGAGGAGTTCGTCCAGTCGGGGTACTCATTTAGAGCAGGTCTTGATCCGTGAAGAGTCCAGTCATCGGACTGTCTTTGCTGTTCCTGCTCCTCTCCAAAGTTCAACGGATAGTGAGATAACTGGTGTCGGTCGTGATAGCTGTGGGTAAAACAGGGAAAACATCAGTGAATTCAGATATATCAGTGCAAACTAGTTTACAGTTTGTGTGAAAAATGTACATTACATAAATTGTGAGGAAATCATTTAGGCTCTATATCAGTGTGTCCAAAGTCTGTCCTCAAGGGGCGGTGTCCTGCATGTTTTAGGTGCTTCCCTGGTTCACAGCTGATCCTAAGGAGTAGGCCTCCTCAGTATGCAATCAAGGTCTACAGAGGTCCACTAATTAAGCACAATTTAGGTTCAGCTGTGTTGATCCAGGGCATCACCTAAAACATGCAGGACACTGGCCCTTGAGGATCGACTTTGGACACCACTGCATATTGTAGTGAAAATATTACAAATACAACAAATCAAATGATGAAACAGATCATTTTATTAACTTCAGGGAAAGAAATATAAAATGTGAGATGATGCTATATCTTTATGTTTAGTATTTGCAAACAACAGACTGCTCTGTGTCATTGTTTAAGGACTGAGGTTCACAGCTGCTCAATCCTTCAAGGTTTTTTTTTCTTTATTTTTTTGTGACAATATGCATTTAATATGAAAAGCTCAAAAATGTTTTGACAGGTCTGGATTACAGGTGGGACTATTTCACCTTTATTTAATTTTTAAGCACTGCTGTTAAATACATATGTATGTATTTCTGCTTGTCTTGAAGAAAAAAGTAAAGACATTTTGTTAGTTGGTTTGGACTAAAATCTTGCTCCATGTACATTTATATTCAGTTAGCACTAATTATGCTGACACAGATGTAGAAGCGTTGATGAGGACGTGGATCTTTTGAAGTTTGCAGAAATTTCAACCTGAAAAGTTTGTTTTTTATCCTGGAGAACATAACATTTATAATGTTCATATGAAATATAAACTTCAAAATGGATAGGTTTTCATCTCAGCTTTGATTTGAGTAAAATCAGAACTGAATTGATTTATTTATGTATTCATTTATTTTTACATTTTATAATTTTGTCTGATTATTTTGATCATTGTATTCAGATATCTAAACTTTTAATAGCTTTACATCATAAACTGAATCTCTAGTTCCCCAGTGTTCAGCATTCACAAACCTTTACTTCATTAATGGTTTATTGCCAACAAACATTTCAATGATTGATCTGTTTCAAGAACATTTAGTTATTTTAGGCATTGAATTAATTCTTGAACACATTCAGCACATCTAAGTCTTCAAATAGTTGTTCCTATTTGCCAAGATTTACCAGAGTAAATCCTGTTTAAATCAGATTTTAACATTCAGATTAAAGTAGATGCAACTGTTAAAAAGTATTCCAGCAGGTAATCAACTCTACACGTCTAAATCAAATTAAATAAATAAATAGCAGCTAGCGCTTTTATCAAAAGTCTCTACTCACTTGTGTGCACAGTTTCTACCAGGAACTGTACCAAATCTGGAGTAACCGTGTGACTGTCTCTGATTTTCAGACCAAAACTCCATCATGTAGCTCCGTACAGATCTGAAGCAAAATAAAATATTTTTTAAGTTTAAAATATAAAATATTCAAACTGTTTCATTCTTTATAATTATTTTTGATCACAAGAATAAATTAGGAAGCAGTGTAAATATTTATAATTACATAAATACCTTCAGCTGCTGCTCTCAAACTCGTGCCCTGGCCGCCCATGAGGTAACGTCTGATGAAGTCTAAACAGGACAAAGTGTTTTAAAAGGATGTTGCTTTTCAGTCCCCCCTCCCACTTTAACACACACTCACTCAACCCTCCTATCTAAAGACAAACCTACTTTCAGGCAGCCACCATACTCTGTTAAAAAACACAACTGCAGGACTTTTATGCAGTGCTGCCTTTTTATTTAAAATACTTCAWATTCAGTTTTTGAATCCACACAAGAGGAAACAAATTAGGAATCTGAATTTTCAAAAAAAAAAAAGGTGTACAAATAACACAAATTTAAGATCTGTTTAGCTGAAACAAAAAAGTTATTGAAAATAATTTCTATATTAGTGTTTATCAAACATTAAAAATTTGTTTTGGGCAATAAGATTCATGTACATATAGGCATTTCACTGACTTTGGTGTTATTTATTTAGTCCAATAGGAGCACCACTGAACCATTTTCACTGAAGTCATAAATGGTTCTTTTTAAATAAATTATCCACATTTAACAGTTTTTATCAGTTTGACTGGAAACCAAGCAAAACACACGTCAGTCCAGTGATCTGCATGTTTAGTGGCAGTCGTGTGGGAGGCAGTGGGCAGACAGAGCACAGAGATACAGATCTGTTGTTTTTGTCGGCTGAACTGTAGCAGAGGGAGTGACGGGCAGCAGCCAGGTCGTCTCCCTTTTCTTTAAAACTCTCCAGCGTAACAAACAGGCTTTCCTATCCTGAACAGAAAACCTGCACATCAGCAGAGTGCCGCAGGGAGGGGATGAACAACAGAATAGACGGGGATGAGATGAATTTGGAGTTTTATACGGAGCAATAAAAACGTGTTGTTGTGAATATCACTGAGCTGCTTGCCAACGATGGATTGTCAAAAAAAAGGGCGATGTTTGTAAAGTTCAATAAATGAAGAAAAGAATATCTGCATAAGACTGTAAATAAACAGGATTTTAAATGAATCCATAGGTGCACACATACATCCCATCTGCTTAAACACACTAAGGTATTAAATACAACAGTCAAATGTATATTAGAAATATAACTAGTTTCATTTCATATATTCATTTMTAAAATAATTTGTAAAAACTTCATAAGCTCCAAGGGGTGATTAAAATATCAATATAACTAGAAAAATATATTTCTTGTGTCTGACAGACACGTTTTCTGAAAGGCTTTCACTATTTTTTTTCTTAAAGGCCACACAAGAAACCAGATGTAACTGGTTTCTGCCCAGTCCGGTCTCCGGCTCCTCCTGCTGTCACTTCAGAGACGCTCTGTAGATGTTGTTGTTCTGTTTGTCGTCACGGTGCACGAGCTCCACGTTGAATCTGCTCGGTAAGATCTCCTCGAAGAAACTCGGGGTCCGGTGCTCTTTGCGCATTTTAGATGAGAGATACGCCGTAGCTCCGTTTTTGCACAGATGCGCCAGCGTCTCCGACAGCAGTGGGTACGTCTCCGGGAGGTAGACTACATCTGCACAAAGCACCAGGTCCCAGTCGGAGGTGAAGTTTAGGTGGTCCTGACCCCACGACAGAGGGAGGACTGTGGGAGGGACTGAAGGCCAACCTTYAGAGGGCGTGTTGGCCGAGACGTTGTCCTGGATCTGTGGAAGGGCCATGGGGAGGTCAGTGAGGGTCACCTCTGCACCTGAAACAGATTATATGATGCAGAGGAAACACTCTCAGCGGACTTATTGATGCATTCTAAGTTATGACTCTGAAATAACACAAAGTATGCAGAAGTAGTGTGTGGGGCGGCTGACCATGCCCACATGTTGTGGTGTCCTTGAGCAAAACYACCAACCRCTCCCCAGGCTCTTAAAYAGCTGTCCGCTGCTTCACTTGGGTGATTCTCATATGTGATGGGACAAATTTCGTTTTTTGATGACAAATAATTACATTTTAAAACAAACAAACAAAAAAACAGAACAGTGAATGCTGAATTGGCACCCATAGAATTAGTGCAGAATAAAAACTAAAATAAAATAGACTTTTTGGGRGACTTGAATGAAAATCTACACCAACATCAGTGCAGAACTGTATTCTTGTCTGATGGTGGTAGCCATGCTATATAATAAGGTTTATTTAATCAAATTCTAAATGATGAATATTGAGCAGAGAAAACGTGTATCCTTGTTCAGCCAGCAGGGGGCAGCACATGACTGAAAGATGTTTTTTAGTGCGGTTACCGTGAGCCMGAAGAAACAAGACAACGTGGAGAAGCTGGAAGGCATGCAGTTGATAATGATGTTAAAAGATAAACATACCCAGGCGAGCAGCTAAAATCCCGACCACACCGGTGCCTGCTCCCAGCTCAATGACGCGCTGTCCTCTCAGCTCCACCGACTCTTCCTCCAGGTACCGACACAAGTGCAGCGCCTGTGTGTGTGCGTGTTTACACACGTGTCACTACACCACGTTCTCTACAAAGTCTACTGAAAACAACAGGAAAGGAAATGTTCAGCACTACTCTTACAGCTTCCCAGACCGGAGCGGCCACGCCGAGGTTGGCACCGAACACTTGTTTTATCCGCACTTCTTCCCCCATCATGTCAAACACCGAGTCCAGACAAAATGTCTCTGCGAACAGGCAGTCATCGACGGGGAACGGGTCCTCTTCGTCTCCAACACAAGTCATGACCAAAAGCTGAATGAAAACAGATTTATATTTTACACACGAGGCGGGGGAAAAAAACACAACTGCCCCTTTAAACATTAGACGAGCGTTTTACTTCCGGTTTCAGAAAGTAAACATTACGCCCATCTACTTCCGTTTCCAGGTCAAATACGTAGCGTTTTGACTTTAATTTTACAAATAAAATGTTGGTGTTTAATAGTACGATCATACTAAGAATTACTACAAATCACTGCCGCACCTATTAGATAAAAAATGCTCTGTCTCAAAAAATGTTAGTGTGATATGTGTGGCTTTTATTTTGAAATGAGACAGTTCATTACTGACTTTTTTGTATTAACTTTTATCTATTGCTTTAAGATTTTTTTCTGTTTGAAAATGTATTCTTCAGAGTAATATGCCCCCAATGATATAATAAATATATTTTGTAATAATCAATAAGTAAATTTTATTTTGAATTCATTGGACACCAAATAATTGTGTATTTTTTTTTGATACATTATTATGATGGAGCCGTGTAAAATCCAAAAAGCACAATCATATTTGAGGTTTATTAAAAACAAAGTTTCCCCAACAACTGCTTTACTTTGAAAACCAAAATAAATGTATAGTACCAGTATGATATACCATTTTTTTCTCCACACACACAAAACTGCACATAGATGGCAAAGATGATTTAACAGGTATATAAAGTGAGAAGTACACTTACTCATCATTTTAGCCTTTCAGTCTTAAAAAAAAAAAGGTACAGATTTGTGATATACAAATTAGACGCAAAACTGAAATGGAAAAAAATAGCATTTGTTGGACATCACAGTTTTCAGTTCAGTGGAGTGACTGATATTACATTCTCCACTCAATATACAGTAGACCTACTAGAAACAAAAATCTCTGGATTATCTGATGTTATCAGAAAAATAAATATATCTTTTAAATTATGAAGATGGACAGTAGCATTACATTTTTAACACAACGGACCTTCTGTCAGGCCTTGATATGTGCAAACTGCAAGTTTTTTTTTAAAAGGCAGCACTTGATGTGAGGACCGTGGAAAGGAACAGTAGTGTTTTCAAATTGGGTGGCACGGTGCAGCTGTGGCTTAGAGCTGTGGCCTCTCAGCATGAAAGCCGAAGCTTCACTTCACAGCCTCGGGAGCTGGTTTCCCCCCTCAAACCAAAAACATGCGTTAGATTAATTTGTAACTTTACATTGTATCTCTATATGTCCCTGTGACAGATTTGCATCTTGTCCAGGTGTCCCCCCACCTCTCACACAGTGACGAATGGACCAGCTGCCTTGCAACCCGAAAAGGAGAAGTGTGGAAAAAAAAGCATGTATTAAAATAACCTCATACAAACCATAGAGTTAAAACAGAATTTAAAATCATAACATGTTACAAGAACCCTCATTATATATAGATGCCCTATATATACTGCTCATAATGTAAAATTTTAAAATAAAACAAGTGGTCATTAAACCAAAAGGAATAATTTTGGTCCTAAGCAGCTATTCTAATTTTACTTGGTGCATTCCTAATATAAATATATTTTTTACATTTTTCCACAATTTAATACTGATGTGAAGAAAATGTTTAAATCGTGATAAATTTGCAGTAAAACTGAACCTCCTGCATATGTTTTCATTTTGTCCACTGGTTCTTTTCTCCCACAGAATCTGAATGTCTCTAAAGTTTTGGACAGAAACGACTCATCTTCATACAGTTATGCTTTAAGTTGAAGTGGAGAAAGCTCAGTTTTAACAGTGACAGTCGAACAACAAAGGACTTCTTTTATTTTTAAGACACAGATATGTCAACGTGGACGAGTCTTGGTGGATTCTGTCACAACCTCAATGGTCTCTTGCYTTAACAAAAAAAGCCACAGCGTAGCCAGAAATCTGTTGTTTGTTTCTTCCATTAAAACATCCCCACATGGCTCAAAGTGCAACCTGCAAACACGTAGAATACTTCTTGATGTTTCTCGGTCGGTATGAAAGGTAAAAATGTTTGTTTGGAGCAAAACCGAGTCCCAAGTCCACGCAAAAACATGACAAAAAAAAAAAAAAAAACACCCAGACAGACAACACAAGTCGAAGGAAAAGATTATTTAAACTTTGTTCCAAAAAGAATAATAATTAGAACAATAATTATAACGAAAAGGATCAAAATGACCAGCATCTTCCTGTTTTTCTTCTGATATTGTTCCGCCTGCAAAGAGACAGAAAATGTGAGTGATTTAAACTTTCAAATAGTTTAAATCGTTTCAATTTACAGAAGTATAAAGGTTTAGAAAAAGCTTGCTTTCATTCAGACTAGAGCTCATCAGGTGGTCAGAATTCCACTATTTATTTTCAAGCGGAGGTTGTTTAAAGAGCTATCTACAACAGGTAAGATACTATCTCTTCATCTGTTCCCCACTTTTAAAGATCTGAACTATTGCTTTATTTAAGACAATTTTGTATGAGAATTCTAATCCTTCTAGTTTGTTATAATATGAACACCGTCTTCAGCATGCTGATTTTTATCTTTCTGGACTATTTCTGGTAGAATTTGAAAGGATCTCAGTGAAGCTTCWTCTAATATATCCACCCTGTGTCGGTGTCTCACTTGTGTTTAGAGTCCGCTGCTTGGGAGTTTAGTTTCTACTCCAATCTCTGTCTGTGTTCTTGTGTTTCATCATTTACTCAACATGGTCAGCTGATCCGAAGCTTCCTTTACTGCTGCCGGAAAACTGAAACATCCCTGCTGTTGCTGCTTTCCTTCAATAGTTTTCCACWAGAAGTTACAAATAATAACTAAACTAACTTCATTAGTGGACAAATAAATTCATTTCTTTCTGTTTGGGGGGGAAAACATCAAGCATAGCTCATCTAACCTCAGATGCTGTTCAAAGATGGCAGAGCTCCCTCCTGTTAGTTATATTAACATGCAGTCATCATATCGTGTTTACCTTTTGTAACTGTTTCAACCCATCTTCTGTTTTAACACAAGCCTGCTCCACATTGAAGTCAATTCTGTCCAGAACAGTGCCCTTAAAGAAGAAAAAATAATGTCTGTCATTTATTACCACTTCTCAAATATGATTTTATTTGTCCTTAATATGTGAGCATTTACTTTATTCTTCCATTTTAGAAACAATTATTTACAAACATATGTCAAAAACTGCAAATATAATATAGTTTTGCAGGTTTTCTCTTGTTGTCATTTTGATTAATTTATTCAACTTCTGGGCTTTTGTTTTTTAATTAAAAGTAAGGAAAATAAATACATTTAAACTTAAAATAGAATTAAAAAATACAGTAAAATTGTTCTGATGCTGTCAAGATAAAATCTTATGCAGCAATTTCTAACAGGTTCTGGATGTAGT